TCAATGACCTGCCGGAGGCGGTAGGAGGTGGATGCCATTTTGGTGGATCGAAAATAAATATGTTGCTTTACGCTGATGACATTATTCTTCTGTCTCCAACTAGTACCGGGCTGCAGCACATGATAAAAAATTTAGAAACCTACTGTGGGACATGGAATTTAACTGTAAATTTAAATAAATCAAAGATTATTGTTTTTAGAAATGGTGGGAAATTGAAGACGAGCGACAAATGGTGGTATATGGGTAAAATTATTGAGGTGGTAAATGAGTACAAATATTTAGGAATCACGTTCACAAGTTCCCTTTCATGGAGTAATCACTTCAAAGAAAAAGCCAGAATAGGTCAATTTGCTGTTAATTCAGTCTGGAGTGCTTTATTTAAAAACCCAAAAGTACCGCTATGTTCTAAAATGTGTTGTTTCGAAGCGGTAGTGCGAGCTACAATCTGCTACGGAGCTCAGGTGTGGGGATGTATAGAAAGCGATCAAATAGAATCTGTTCAAAAAATATTTCTCAAAAATTATTCTCTTTACCTTTTAACACACCAAATTATGCATTATATTTGGAAACATGCTGTGAAAAGTTATACTTTTATACTTTTTATTTTATTTTATTTTATTTTATTTTATTTTCATGCTCCAATACAGTATACACCATTTACATTGAAGCAGTTCATGCACTTATAATAATTTCTTCAGTGGGTTTCTTCTTGTCCATTCACTTCAATCTAACTTACACTTTCATACCATGCAATAACAACATAAAAAATAAAATTTTCAATAACTATAACAACAATATAAATATTTAAAAAAGACTAACAATGATAAATTATATAAATACATAAATACTGAATAGTAAAATAAATACAACAGTGAATATAAATATATTATTGATTGGTGAATAATACTGTTTTTAATTTTAATTTGAAATTCTGCAAGTTGTCAGAGAAAATGTCAATGTTATTGCATTTTTCTATTGCCAAATTATAGTCTTTCATTATTCGATAGAGGGGGGAGGAGGCATGGGCAGTGGTGCGGCTGTAGGGCAACGAGAAGAGATGTTTGTTTCTACTGTTGAAGCAGGGTACGCGATAAGACAGGCCGGCCAGGCTAGCAGCGTCGTCAACCTCTCCACGCGCCAGTTTGTACAGGAACACCTGACCTATGATCGTTCTCCTCAGATCTAGACTCTGCAGCCCAAACAGTTGTAACAAATCATAATATGGAATTTCGTACGTATAAATATTAAAACATTTGTAAAATAGAAATCTTAAAAACTTTTTCTGAACTTTCTCCAAAGCATCTTTGAACTGTAAATGATATGGATTCCAAATCATGGAACAGGTTTCTAATCTCGATCTGACCAACGAGTGATAAAGCATAATCAAAGTTTCAATGTTTCTAAAATTTGTACTTTGTCTAACTATAAATCCTATCATTTTACTTGCAGCAGCAATGCATGTTTCAATATGAAAATTAAAAGATAGTGCAGAATTCATGTGAACACCTAAATCTTTAATTTTGTTTACCCTACAAATTAAAATGCCATTTAAAAAATAGTTATTTTGTAAAAAATTTTGAGTCCTAGTAAAAGTCATTAGTTGGCATTTGGAAACATTAAAAGTCATTTTGTTTGAAACACTCCATTTGTAAACATTATCAAGATCTTCCTGTAAGCTATTTGCATCCTCAAGACTGTTTATATGCTTAAACAGTTTTAAATCATCAGCAAATAGAAGTGAATTTGAATTTAAAATACAGTCGCTTAGATTATTAATTAGTATTGTAAAAAGACAAGGCCCTAGATTCGAACCCTGGGGGACCCCAGATTGGACATTAAATATAGCAGAGGAAAATCCATGATAGAAAACAAATTGTTTCCTATTCACAATGTAAGATTTGAAAAAATGTAATAAATCATTTGACATGCCATACCAATGTAGTTTCTGCAACAAAATTAAATGGTCAACCTTATCAAACGCTTTGGCCAGATCAAGAAATAATGTGTCTGTCTGAACCCCAGCGTCCAGACCCGAGGAAACGTAACTAGTAAAATTTAATAAATTTGTGTTGACTGACCTTCCTGGGACAAACCCATGCTGGTAATTTGAAATGTATTTTTGAAAATGTCTGAATAAATATTTGTGAATAATAATCTCAAATATCTTAGCCGGTACAGATAACACTGCTACCGGTCTGTAATTTAAAACTTTGGATTTTTTGCCACTCTTAAAAATTGGGGTTACTTTTGTTGTTTTCCATCTTTCCGGAAATATATTAGTTTTCAAGCTTAAATTGTATAAAAATTCTAAAGGCCCAACTAAAAATTCGGAACAACCTTTAAATAAATATTGTGGGAGTAAATCTGGACCAGTAGTGCATTTTGATTTTAAATGTTTGATGGCGTTCTGCACATCCTGACAGCTGAGGCGAGGCAGAGTGAGGCAAGACGCGCCGGTCAGACACGGCCCCTCCACCGCGCACTCCACACTAGGCTCTGTAGTGTAACTCTCGTACACAGAACTAAAATATTCCGCGAATGCATTTACAACCGCTCCTCCGTTATCCAGTCTTACTCCATTGTGCTCCATTATCATAATTTTATTTCGTTCAGATTTTTTACTTTGAATGTAAATCTAAATTATTTATTGAAATGTTTAACGTTACCAGCAGGGAGATTGCCCAAAATTTTAGCTAAACAAATTATTTCAAGGAATGTATTTTGGAGTAAAGAATGGAAGCTTCTGGGACAACAATTTAATATAAATATTAATTTTCAAAATGATGATTTAGCAGAGCTTAGCGAACAGTTGAGGTCGGTAGCGGAAGGGCTACGTTGTAGGTGGAGGGGGGAGTGTGTTGGTCGGGCGCGCACCTCCGTCCATCACAGCCAGTTACTCACGCTCGACCTTGAACTTGGAGATAAGAGTCCCCTCAGACTGAACAATACTCGTACCATTTCGTGGATTCTTAAAGCAAGATTAGAGCTTATCAACCTGAACTACAAGCCTTGGCTCAATCAAAATTATAGATGTTCTTTATGTAACCTAAATGAAAATGAAACAGTCTATCATTTTATTGCACTTTGTCCGATTTTAAAACACATAAGACATTTGTGGCTGGGAAAACTTTTTTTAAACGAAATAGAATATCATCAATTTATAAATGGGAGGAATTGGCGAGCTTTAGCTAGTTATCTAGAAAATGCTTGGAAGTATAGATGGGAGATAGTGACAGAATTTAACCTTTGAATCTAAATAATTGTATATGAAACTCGTCTACAGATAAGTTAGGATCAGTATGTTTTTGTTTTTTATCACTTATGTAATAATATTTCGTTCTCTCTTATATCTTTTCTCTTATGTCTTTATTTTAGAAATATTAATAAATCTTTTTAGTGCTCAATAGGCCTACTATTCTAATCTTAAGTAATGGAACAACTCTAGTGCCAACAAAACAGACGGTTATTAACCATTGTTTTTATGTGTCTGTGAAAAAATGTATTTATGTTCTAAATTGTACAATAAAGCACATTTTCATTTCATTTCATTTCATATCATATATTAATCTAACTGTCATTAAGGGTTCCCACTCTACGGACTGATTGCCTTGACTACTTCATATATCCTCACTAATTTGCCTAAGGGCGTGTTCATGTCGGATCTGCGATTAGTGATACCAGTTGCAATCCTAATGCGAAGATAATACCAATGTAATTTTTTAATAGGCCTGTTACATTGGATCTGCACTGTTATAGATAATAGCACAGTCCTTTTTCTCAGCTAATATTGAGACTCCGAATATGGATTTTGACAATTTAATACCATTAGTTTTTATGAAATTAGCATTATGGGACGACAAGGGTGATAAATATCACTTATATAGATTTGTGGTAGACAAGTTGTGGAGTGAAGTTACTTCAGAATTGCACACAAATATTGATAGGATGTGCATATTATTCATGCTTTTACATCATCGTAAATAATTCTTAACTGCATGTGATTGTAAAATTAATCCTCTTCCTCTTAATCAGTTATCACAAACTCGTTTTCAACAAAACAGGAACCCACAAATCAATCTTTAAGCACAAGTCACGGACATGAACTTTCGATAACAGCAGAGCGCTACTCTCAACTAGCAGCTCGCTGATCTCATCGTTGCTACGATCGCTAATCACAGCTCCAACATGAACGCAGCCTAATATGTGATTGTGAAGATATCATCATTGTCTCCCGCAATGGCAGCAATATCTTGAATATCCCATCGTACCTCGCAATCGTGGCAAATTTAAGAGCATTTCCTGTGATTGCAAACATATCATCATTGTCTATTGCGATCTTGTCAAATGATTGGAAAAACAGCCATAAACAAAAACTGACATTCCCCATCAATTTGGTAAAACTGACAACCTATACTTAACTTACCTACCTAACTTACCTATACCTGATTGGCCAAATGCTCAACACTCTCAATTAGTTGGTTATGGTTTGTAATTCATGAGCTAAGGACACTAATGAAAACTGAAAACCCAGTTAAACTGAAAACTGAAAGTATACAGACATCTCAAACTGATGTGTAGAGTAGTACCGTACCATAGATAAAACATACTCTTAATAGATTTCTCATCCTCATGGAACAGCTGAAGCCAATTTTATTGTTAGTTCTGTCCGGTGCACTGAAGAGGTTTTGTTTTGTTTACAATTTGTTTGTTGTTATGTCAGTCATTTAAAATCTTATTTAACCAAATAATCATGAACAATTACTCGTTCCTTAGTAAAATAACCAAACAGTAAAGCACAAATCATTCAATTAACCCTAAAATTATAAAAGTTGACACTAGCGATCAGTGTCACCGGACATGAACTAGGCATGAAAAACAACGAGCTTCAAAATTTACAACAGGATAAAAAGTCTACTTGTGTTGGTCAGTCTATGGTAGTACTCAGTTTGAAATTGCAACATTATAAAAAAGGATCTTTTGGCTTAATATAGCACAATTACCTGGCAGCCATTGCAAAGCCTTTCTCTAAGTCTGTAGAAGCAGTAAGCACTAAGGTCGCCAGACTGACCCTCTGTGATTGTGAGCTGAACAGTGTGAGAGGAGCAGCATCTGGACACTCCAAGGCTAGGAACTGAATCACCTCCACCTGTAGTCTGATGGTGGCTATGTAGCGGACAATCTGCGACCTGGGCAGCTGCATCACCAGGGGAGTCTTGCTGTCTGTACAAAAACATACCTTAGCATTCACATTTCAAAAAATTGTTTAAAAAGTTTTCAATAAATGTATGCCAGTTTTATTTTTTCCCATTTCACAGTACTGTGACAATAACGGACAATAAGATCTAACTGAATACCTATGTGCTTGACTTGATTGGATTAGAACCAACAGAAGTGTCTAGCTTTTTCATCCAAATAGTTTGTACCAAAACTTTATCCTTTAGCAGTTGCACACTTAGGCATTTTGCTACTTTTTACTGACCCTTACTGATCACTTAACCTTGTTTTAAAATAATTCTGATTTTATGTTCACAAGATGAAAGAAAATATAATAAAACAAAGTACTATAGTTTCACGTTAAACTAATAAGTAATAACCAACCATTCCTGGGACACAAAGGGTAAACATACAAACTGACTTATTAAACAAATTATTTTATTGGAGTATGCCAAAACAAGGCACTTACTTATTCAGTTTTTGGTACAAGGGTCTAAAAAAAGTCTAAACCTTGAGTTTCGTTAAATAAAACGATTATTAGATCATATCTCACCAGGTTTATATTTGAGAGCTACCTCTAGATGGCCTAAGGAAGAGTATAGATGGCCCTTGTGGTTAGCTAAGTCTTGGTAGTTGCGAGTATTGTGTTTAAAAAAGTGAATACAGGTGAGAGCAGCTCGTACATGGTCATTCATCCACACTTGTGCTTGGTAGAGCACATGGTAGAGTTGCTGGCGCTCACAGTACGCACAAGACGCACGCAGGTAGTCCTGAACAAGGATACACTAGAATTACATCAAAAGAACCCTTTTAAATTGCCTCATCAATGCAATTCATAATACTTTGAAAAATCACTGACCAGTAGCATTTAAAAATCACTTAGTTGAAATAAAATGAAATGAAAAATGTATTTATTTGAGAGGCGAAGTTAGGACTTGCAAGTCCTCTATACCACTTAACCTCTAAAAGAATGTTAAACTCTAAAAGAAGTAAATTATAGTCTTAGCAATTTGCGAGTGTCCCTGGATGCAAAGTTAGTTCCACTCTCACGCACACACATTCACCCTCACGAGCAGAGAGGATTAGAACCACCCTAGACCGGCTGTACTTTCGCTTCATTAGTTCTTTTAGCCACCACTTGTAATAAAAATTTAATTTAAAAAAATGTAATCTATATAAATAAAATGAGAGTTTTGTCTGTACATTGCTCAGAATCATAAACTTTTAGGTTATTTTTACGTTTTATACAAACATTAAGGAAACCGAAACAAGTCTTATCTAAATTTCTGTCTGTCTGTCTGTCACGGCCCAAGAGCCATTTTACGCGGCCTTCTCCTGAAAAACAAGAGTACCTATCAAGTTCCAAATCATTTTAATGTATTCACTGGATTGGCGAGATTGTCTTAAGCCATTATAATATGGCGTCACTACTTTGTAAATAAAATGACGGACGTTTAAAAACCCAATTTTGTGCGATTTTTTGTAAAGTTTTCCCAATGTTAATCACATATATTCATCAATGAAATAACGAACAGCTGTTCGAATCAAGATTATTTCTTCTAGCTGTCACTGATATGTTTACATTGAATGTTGTTTACAAATACCGCAACCATTTCCGATCACGTTTTGAAAGCAAATCTAAACCAAGTAAGATTAAAAACGTTTTTCCTTACATAACGGATTTAATTAATCGCAAGTGCAATAATTTGTAGGGTATCCGTAAATGAAAATAGAGATTTTTTGTGTATAAAACTGTTCTTGAGTTTTGATAACCGGGAAAAAGACCTTGAATCAGTGTTGTATATAACTGGGAGACTGAAATTTTTTAAATGAGCGTTTTCAGTCAAGACTCGGCACACGACCGACGTGTGTCTACACATCCATAGTAAAAATAAAAGTAGGCATACCGTGTATTTATGTTTTATTCGTCATGTGTATAAGTGTACAGTTCGTGTATGTGTTTCAAAAACTCCAAGACGCACCTAATGGGGAAGCTCAAGACCTTATATTAGGACTGATGATGGTGATTTAATTTTGCTGAAATGCATCTCCTGTAATAGGATACATTAGGATCGACCGGCGGACACAGGTAATTTAACCTTTTATTGATTGTCATACCGATCCGGAACAACAACAAACAACATAAAATGAAGTTATGTATAATAGTTTGGCCAGCATATCTGAAAATATGCAAACCAACTGCTGTTTTAATTAGAGGTCTGCGGTACAGAAAATTTAAGGTCGGTACGGTTCGGTACGGTACAATATTTTGTACCTCGGTTCTCGGTACAAAATCGGTACGGTACGCGGCTACCCGTATTTTTGCGGTTTTCTTCTCAGAACTGTATTTAAACCATTATTTTTAATTTTAATACATTGACATTACTATGAAAATGGATAGTATCCTACATTCATGGTTTTCTAAGAACAATTACTGTACCACACATTATTAAAACAAAACGTTTTACTACTACGTGCGCATTGTGTCAAGAAAAATCACAATTAAGATAAGGGCTTTACCTATTTTACTCTGAGATACTTTGAATAGCCATGATAAAGTGGTTTTGAAATTAGGATAAGAGTTTGTAGGAATAAACATGTTTGAAGCATTAATTGACAAGATAATTTCACATAACTGGTAAATTATTTCCAACCAACACAATGTCTAGTTGTTTTTTTTAAATTTTGAAAAACATATAAAAGCATTCAGTACGAAGGCAGTGTAGTTGCCAGCTGTTCACAGCAGACGACAATGAAAAACTGGAGGTTATGATGAAGTAAATGGCAAAGAGCATCTTTTTTTATCAGCTTCAAAACTAATTATAGGATGGATACAACTCTTGCAAAGTTTTTTTTCTGAAACTTAAAATTGGATTATCACAGAGTAAGATTATTGTCTTTTCATTTACAAAGTTAACACCCACACATATCAATCATTAGTTTATCTCAGGCTCAATCCAATTTTCTTAGTATAATTTAAAGCTCTTCCAAAGAATCAAAAGACAAAGTCCTAGACCTAATTATTTAGGTGGGCCTATATAAAATTGGTTAGGTTATGATGAAATGAGGGAATAAAATACATAAAATACTTTATTAATAATTGATGTAAAAAGGAAAGATATTAAAACATTAACACTTCAAACTGTGAACATATTAGAACAACATAATAATATAATCAAGCAGCTGATATTAAAATACACATTAAAAAGATATTTGATTATATAGCATTAAGCAAAGCAATACTATATAAAATCCTCAACATTCCCCCTTAATCAAACATCTTTTTTTATTTAATCTGAGTCTTTAAGTCCCAAGTCCGTCACAAAGTTATTAAATTTTTCACGTGACAATGATTTGGTTAAAATATCAGCCGTCATATTTTCAGTTGGCAAATACTTAATTTAAATGCACTTCTTAACCATATTCTTGACCTTTAGCAACAAGACGTGCTTTGAACTTCTCACGATCACCATCTACATTTTTCTTAGTTTTATAAACCCACTTGCATTTAACCACATTTTCAGTCTTAGGACGATCAACCAACTCCCAAACATTGTTCTTAATCAGAGAATTATACTCTTCATCCATGGCATTCATCCATTCTTCTTTGAAATTACTTTTAATTGCCTCATTGAAATTTTGCGGTTCATCAAAAACATCGACAGCTTGATATGAAAAGAAATCGTTCATCCATAATGGTTTTCTGCGATAACGTTCAGGTCTTTTATCATCAATCAAAGAATTCCCTTCTTCCAAAACTAGCTGTTCATTTTCATCATGTGAATTGTCTAGATAAGAATTTTCATTTTCTGAAACTTCCTGTTAGAATGAACAAGATTTTCTTCGTTGTCAACAGATGTTATATCATTGTTTGGTTCTTCCACAAGTTCAGTTGTACTACTGTTTATAACAGTGTATTCAACTTGTCGACTTTCATTTTTCAGGTCATCTTTCACATCAGAGGAATGACATTGGTCTTCTACAAAAACAACATCACATGCTTTTATTATAGAATAAGGTTTCTTAGGATCAATTAGTCTGTAGCCTTTGGAATGTTCACAATATCCAACCATAATACAAAGCTTTGCTTTTGTGTCAAGGTCAAGTTTCTTTCTGTAACATTTGGGAATATGAACATAAGCTTTACAGCCAAAAACCCGTAAGTGACTTAGATCAACCTTTGAACCAGTCCAAACCTTCTCTGGTGTTGCATCCTTTAAAGCTGCTGTAGGACTACGATTCTTCAAATAGATAGCTGTGTTTATAGCTTCTCCCCAATATCGTTTTCCTAAACCTGAATCTTGAAGTAAACATCTTGTCTTTTCAACTAGTGTTCGGTTAACACGTTCACTTACACCATTTTGCTCTGGAGTGTGGGGTATAGTGGTCTCATGAATAATGCCATTTAAACGTAGAAAATCTGCAAATTGTTTGTTAACATACTCACCCTCGCCATTATCAGTTCTCAAGCGCTTAATTTTTAAGCCAGTTTGATTTTCAACTTCCATTTTGAAGTCGTTGAACTTACTTAAAACCTCAGTTTTGTGTAAATAACCAACAGTTTTTCTAGAGAGGTCATCGGTGAATGTTAAAAGATAAAGAGATCCACCCCAACTTTTAACTGACATAGGTCCACATAAGTCTGAATGAATTAGCTCAAGTAATGAAGTAGCTCTGATACTTTGACCTTTAGGAAAAAAATTTCTTGTTATCTTTTTTTTTTTTTAGGGAGAGGAGGGAAAATGCTTTTACGCACACAGGTAGCCAGCCTGTAGTGTGAGACTCCTGAAAATTGTCAGACTACTCACTAAAAAACCCCCTCTACTCTGTTGGACACAGACCTGGAATTGTTTGTCACATTACTTCAAGTCAGGCCAACATGTGACCTAAGCCCTCAGGGCTCGCACCGTTTCTGGCATTTCGATTCTTAATGACCTACAACCGCATCCCGGTCAAGGTCGATCTTCTTGGCGCGGAGAATACCCTGGATATAATGTGACACACAGGTCCAATTGTCCTCACCCTCCGTCATAATCGGTATGACCGTGTCCACCGACAGCAGTCCTATTAATTGTTGAGCCTCCAGGCGGGGCCTTTCCCAGCGCTGGCAGTGGAAAAATGTATGTTCCACGTCATCGAGAATGCCTGGGCAGTATATGCAGTCGGGTGACACGGCTTTGCCCATCCTGAACAGGTACGACCGGAAAAAGCCGTGTCCCGTCAGAAATTGGGTGAGGTAGAAGTCCACCTCTCCGTACCGCCGATCAACCCAAGGTTGGACTTGCTGTATCAGTCGCCTGGTCCAGAGTCCCCGTGTCTCCTGTTCCCAGCCCTCCTGCCACAGCTGGTAGGTGCGGGTGCGTTCCTCTGTTCGTGCCTCGTCCTCCCCACGGCGCCGGTAAATTGCCTTTCTCTCCGCCGCCAAAAGTTTGACGGGGATGACTCCAGCAATCACCAGGACGGCGGGCTCGGACACTGTTCGGTAGGCAGATGCTACCCTCAGTGCTGCCTGACGCTGCACTCGGGCGAGCCGCATCCTGTATGCCTCCTTATTTAGTGCGTCTGCCCACACCTCCGCACCGTACAAGGGTACGGACTGGACCGAAGACATTAACAGCCTTCTACGACTGGACCGAGGCCCTCCGACATTGGCCATCAACCGGCTAAGAGAAGAAACCACCCTAGCGGCCTTGTCCGCTGTACGGAAGATCTGATCCCGCCAGCTAAGCTTGCTGTCTACCATGACCCCAAGATACTTGGCAGAACGAAC